AGGTGGGACTGGCCAGGCTTTGCCAAATTAGCAATAGCAATAGCAGTTAGACTTATATACCGCTTCATAGGGCTTTCAGCCCTCTCTAAGCGGTTTACAGAGTCAGCATATCGCCCCCGACAACAATCCGGCTCCTCATTTCACCCACCTCGGAAGGATGGAAGGCTGAGTCAACCTTGAGCCGGTAAGTTTTGAACAGCCGAACTGCAGAACTGCAGTCAGCTGAAGTGGCCTGCAGTACTGCACCCTAACCACTGCGCCACCTCGGCTCTTTGGATGTGGTGGCTCAGTAGCTAAGAAGCTGAGCCTATCGATCAGAAGGTTGGCAGTTCGGCAGTTCGAATCCCTAGTGCTGCATAACGGGGTGAGCTCCCGTTCCTCGTCCCAGCTTCTGCCAACCTAGCAGTTCGAAAGCAGGTAAAAAACTCAGGTGGAAAAGAGGAACCACAGCGTTCCGTGCGCCTTCGGCATTGAGTCATGCCGGCCACATGACCATAGAGACGTCCTCGGACAGCGCTGGCTCTTCGGCTTTGAAACCGAGATGAGCACCGCCCCCTAGAGTCAGGAACGAGTAGCACATATGTGCGAAGGGAACTTTCACCTTTACCTTAGCCTTTCATTGCTGGTGGTTCAGAGTAAGGAATTGTGGGAATTAAAAGCAGAGGCGTGGAAATCAAAATCCAAAAAGACGTGGAATCATTAAACCCTCCGCGATTGCAAAGGTGTGTTTAAAAAGGCGCCTCGTGAGACCTTTTTTCAAAGCTAAAAAAAAAAAAAGGTGAATCCGACAGGCCCCAAAGAGAGTCGGATTGTACCCTCGCCACACAATTCTGACAACCGGGCCACAGAGTTGTTTAAAAACACATCAAATGCAGAGGCACCGAAAACTCTACCAGGGAAAAAAAAAACCCACAGTTCTGCCTTCAAAGCAAAGAAAACGAGGAAAGTCTTGAGGTGGTCCAAGGAAACTTAAAAAGGGAAGAGAAAAGAAAGCAAAAAGTTGTTTTCTTTTTCTTTCTGGTACATTTTACAAGTGGACGGAGAAATCTCAATTTCCTAGCGAGGTCCTCTTCCTTTAAAAAACACACACACAAACACACCAGGGGGAGATGACAAACTTTTCAGCAAATGAAGGAGAAGGCTAGGATTTTGGTTTTCAGGGCAAAAGGATCCGTTTGGCGTTTGTATTCAGCTTCTCCCCCCTGTTGGGGTAGAATTAACATCTTGTAAAAACAGCCAGCTATTGCAACTTGCCCGGGATCCAAAACACTACGAGGAGCCCCAAAAAATTTCTTCTCCTCCTCTTCTTTCTTCTGCTCTTCTTCCTCCTTTTCTCCTCCTCCTCTTCTTCTTCCTTCTCCTCTTCCTCTCCTTCTCTTCTTCCTCCTGTCCTCCACCTCTTCTTCCTTCTCTTCCTCCTTTTCTTCTTCTGCTCTTCTTTCTTCTCCTCCTCCCCTTCTTTCTCTTCTTCCTTCTCCTCCCCTCCTTTTCCTTCTCCTCTTCCTCTCCTTTTCTTCCTCTCCTTCTCTTCTTCCTCCTGCTCCTCGCCTCCACCTCTTCTTCCTTCTCCTCTTCCCCCTTTTCTTCCTCTGCTCTTCTTTCCTCTCCTCTTTCCCTTCTTTCTCCTCTTCCTCTCCTTTTCTTCCTCTCCTTCTCTTCTTCCCCCTGCTCCTCGCCTCCACCTCTTCTTCCTTCTCCTCTTCCCCCTTTTCTTCCTCTGCTCTTCTTTCTTCTCCTCCTCCCCTTCTTTCTCCTCTTCCTCCCCCTCCCCTCTTTTTCCTTCTCCTCTTCCTCTCCTTTTCTTCCTCTCTTTCTCTTCTTCCCCCTGCTCCTCGCCTCCACCTCTTCTTCCTTCTCCTCTTCCCCCTTTTCTTCTTCTGCTCTTCTTTCTTTTCCTCCTCCCCTTCTTTCTCTTCCTCTCTTTTTCTTCCTCTCCTTCTCTTCTTCCTCCTGCTCCTCTCCTCCACCTTCTCCTCCTCTTCTTTCTCCTCCTCTTCTTTCTCCTCCTCTTCTTCCTTCTCCTCTTCCTCTCCTTCTCCTCCTCCTCCTGCTCCTCTCCTCCACCTCTTCTTTCTTCTCCTCCTCCCTTCTTCCTCCTCTTCCTCTCCCCTCCCTTCTTCTTCCTTCTCCTTTTCCTCTCCCCTTCCTCCCCACCTCCTTCTCCTCCCCTTCCTCCTTTTTCTCTCCTCCTCCCCCCGCCCTTCCCACCACAAACCGCCTGCCTGCCTTTTCACACCGCTGGTATGTCTCCAGGCCTAAACAGGACGAACCTCCAGATTGTAAGCAGGCCCACACACAGCCCTCCGGATTTGGCATCGCACCTAATTCACACAACTGGGGGAAATGAGTGACACAACCCGACAACTCCTGAAGGAGCACCCTGGGACTCTGTTTGCTGTAAACACCGTCCCTTCCGAGCGGCTGAAAAGTCTGCCTGGAGATCTGCTCTCTGGTCGGCTGGGACGGAAACAATGCTCCAGTCATTGAGTTAATTCAGGATTTCCGGCGTTCTTCCTTCCCGTCCCCCCTTCCCACGTCAACGGCAACAACTAAGGGCTGCAGCCTGCAAAGTTCTTTATCTTGGTCATTGCAAGAAGCATCCGTTCGGGATCCAACCCCCGTGGCCCAACAGAAGACCCCGTCCTGCCTCAGTAGCCGAGCGGCTGGTCCTCTCCCCGTCACCCCCACCCACGGGTGCCAGGGGGCGGCTGGAGAAAAGGCACCTGGGGCCAGGACACTTCCGGGGTAGAAGTCCCTGGCCAAGGAGGCTGAGCCAGATTCCTTCGGCTGCTAATTAGGCCCCGAGAATCTCTTCTTCTGTCTTCTGGGTCTGCCCACCCACCCATTTCAGCGCTATGAGTCAGTTTTTAATTGCTGTTGCCAGCTTGTTTTACTGTTGACTGCCCTGAAATTTACGATGAATTAGTTGCTTGAAAGGCAAAGATGATAAAATCCCCCCCCTCCCCAAGATCCTGAAGTGTGCTGAGAAGATGGCTTAATCCCTTGTTTTCTCTTCTCTTCTCTCTCTGTCTCCTGCATCAGTCCTTCTGCTTAGAGCAATGAGGACTAGAATCCTTCCTTTTTCTCATTCACCCTCCTTCCCTCCCGCTCCTTCCTTCCCTCCCTTCCCCCCTTCCTTTTTTCCCTCCCTCATTCCTTCCTTCCTCTTTCACGTCCTTCCTTCCCTCCTCACTTCCCCCCTTCACTCCCCTCCTTCTTTCCTTTCCTTCCTTCCCTCTCTCCCTTCCTCTTTCCCTCCCTCCCTTTACTCCCTTCCTTCTTCTTTCTCTTCCTTCCTTCTCTCCCTTCCTTCCTCTCTCCCTTCAATCCCTTCTTTCCTTCCTTCCTCCCTCCCTCCCTTCCTCTTTTCCTCTCGTCCTTCCTCCCTTTACTCTCTTCCTTCTTCTTTCTCTTCCTTCCCTCATTCCTTCCCTCCCTCCCTTCCTCTTTCTCTCCCTTCCTTCCTCCCTCCCTCCCTTCACTCCCTTCCTTCTTCTTTCTCTTCCTTCCTTCTCTCCCTTCCTTCCTCTCTCCCTTCAATCCCTTCTTTCCTTCCTCCCTCCCTTCCTCTTTTCCTCCCTTCCTNGATAGATAGATAGATTATAGATAAATAGATATATTGATTGATTGATTATAGGCAGGCAGGCTGAGAGTGTTTTTGCCTGCATTAGTTTTAGAAAGTTTTTACAAATAATATAAATGAATGCATTGGTAAAAAATTAAAAAACCTTTTTTCAGGTACTGAGAATCAAAATCCTAACCGAAGCTTCAGCCATGACCAATGAGTTCAGAGCAGTGGGGTGGGAAGGGTTTTTCTTTTCTTAAGTCTGAGACACTTGGGGGTGCCCTGTGCACCGCATCTGAAAACGGGGGGGGGGGGGGGGAGAGCAACGTGGCAAACGTTTCCATGGCTTCACTGAATTTTTGTGCAACTTTTGAGCAGGGCTGAGGGTCCCCTGAACATCTTCGGGCCAGAGACCAAGGGCAGCCCCAGATATAAAATCCAAGATTGGCTGGAGGAGCAAATCAAGTGCACCTGAAGCCGCTTGGAGTGGATGTGGCGGGAAGGATATTACTAACTTCCCACAAAGAGCGGTTCACGTCCCACTGGGCCACTCGAGAGAATGGCAAATAGAAACAGGAAAAAACATCTCCTGCCTCTTCCCCCCCAAAAATATCCTTTTTAGCAACAGCTGCTGAAAAGGGCAGATTCTTCACACCCGACTCCTGGGGGACTCCCCGAATCCTGAAATAGGGACCAGGGGGAGGCCACGAGCGAGGGAGGGTTGGCACAGGTGGGGCACAGGAGCAAAGGACATGGGGTGGGGGCTGAATCAAGGGAGAGGGAGGGTCTTCACGCTGCCATTATTCCAAGGCAGCAGTGGAATATAGTCATTGTAGTTGTCGCCTAGCTGGAGAAGTTGGGAAGAGCTGGGCCAAGGGTCAACATTCTCAAACTGCTGGCTATTCCTGCAGCGTTTTTCAATTTTCACATTCCGTAGGTGCAAAAGGCAACAGAATTTATATATTATTTTCGTTGATTTTCACGGGTGTAGGTATGCTGGTCTTGTTGTATTCGGGTCTTTTAATCTTACACGGGAAAAGACCCGAATACAACAAGACCAGCGTGTATACACACACACACACAGACNAAGAATAGGAAAAGTTATATTATTAGTAGAAGGACAATCCAGACTACCAGAGACTGAAGAGCAAGAGTAAGAAATAATAGGATTATAAGTGTAAAATGAGTTAGAGATGGACTGAGAGGGAAATCGTCTTTATGACGATGTACCGATGGATATCTGCTGTAAGAAGGAACTCCAGTTCCGATGATACTTTAAGTGTTGCGTATGTTTTTGTCAAATGTACATAAGTGTTTGTAATTAAAAAAAAATCAAATTAAAAAAGTTTCATTCCACTTGCGAGGCCTTGGTTGAATCTCTTCCGAAGGGTTTTTTTATCTTTTTGCCAATTCTCCTTTTGCCTTTCCCTTACAGACTTCCTGGAAAAACTGGGGCAGGGGACCCGGCCGGATGGGACGGTGGAGCAAATTGGGCCCATTCTCGTGGAATGGGTGAGTGAATCCCCACAAACTTCCCCCCCCTGCCCCCCCGCTTAACGCCTGCCAGTCATGATTTTATTCGTAACTTTATTCGTTTTCTGGATCTCGCTGAGCTTTCCGCTTGGTTTAGTTATTTAGTTTAATAAAATAATTTTTAAAAAGGTTTAGCGAGAAGGTTTACCTGGCCGCCTGCTCCCTCTCTGTAACTCTGGGTGGGTTGTCGACAATAAATACAACAGGTAGCCCTTAATGACCGCAGTTGAGCCCCCAAATTTACGTTGCTGAACGAGACGGGTTAAGTGACATTCGCCCTGTTTTACGACTGTTCTTGCCACGTTTTGTTAAAGTGAATCACTGCGGTTCTTAAACGAGTAACCCAGTTGTTAAGTGGATCCCATTGACTTCCCTCGTCCTCTTCTTCCTCCTTCCCCTCCTTCTTTCTTCCCCTCTTTCCCTTTCCCCTCCTCCTTCTTCCTTTTCCTCCTCCTTCTCCTCTGAATGAGCCGAGGTGGCGCAGTGGTTAAATGCAGCACTGCAGGCTACTTCAGCTGACTGCAGTTCTGCAGTTCGGCGGTTCAAATCTCACCGGCTCA